CTCGGTGCGGGGGGGGGCACTGTGGGGGTTCATATTTTGGGGGGGCGCCCCCGGGCGTGCCCCAGGCGTGCTGGGGGAAAATGAAAGCGCTCGGGAGCTGCGGCTGCTGGGGCACCCCACCCCAAACCCCACCCCAAAACCTCCCCCCGCTCCGTTCGGGGGCTCAGGGACCCCTCAATCCCCACCCCCAGCCGCGCTTCCCCGTCCTGCCTCAGTTTCCCCACCTGCTCCGTGGGGTTAATGACCCAAAACCCCCCTAAAACCTCCCCAAAACCCCCCCGGGTGGGGGTGACCACGACCCTCGTGCCACAGCGGGATTTTGGGGGTGCAGGGAGGATTTTGGGGCTGCCCAGCCAGACTGGCTAAGAGGATCCCCCACCCCTGTTCAGTTTGGGGGGAATTTGGGGTTCTCCCCCCACCCAGCCTCACGGCGGGGGGTCCACAGCTGATTTCGCGCTTCCCCGTCCTGCCTCAGTTTCCCCACCTGCTCCGTGGGGTTAATGACCCAAAACCCCCCTAAAACCTCCCCAAAACCCCCCCGGGGGGGGCGTGGGGAGGGTGAGGGGCAGGGAGGAGCTGAGCCGGGGTTATTTAAGGCAAAAAAAAAAGGGGGGAAAGGGGAAATCGCGGGGTTACAGCGAGGAACGCGACCCCCGAGGGGGGGTGTGGATCAAAGCTTCGCTCCTCTCGCTTTCTCTTCCTTTCACCAAGCCAAAACCCCGATGATTAAAAATTAAAAACGCCCCCGAAAATGTCGCTTTTCCACGCGGCTCGGGCCGGGAAAGGCGCTGGAATTCCGGGAGCTGCTCCCTGCCCCGCCCGGGTGGGGACAGCCGTGTCCCCGCGTCCCCGTGTCCCCCCCCGGCGGCGGGGCAGCCCGGCCTTGTCCTGTCCTTGCCAGGCTGGCTCGGAGCCCACCGCGACCTTGGGCTCCGTGTCCCCTTCCCGCAGCGAGCGGGGGGCAGCCCCGGGGACACGAGTGGCTGCGGGGACATTGGGGACACCGAGGGTGGCACGTGGTGGCTCGGGGAGGTGACCCGGGAGGGAGGGAGGGACATTGTGGGGTGACGCGAGTGGGGATGGGGGCGTGGGGAGGTGACACCCGCGCGGGGTGACTCGGGGTTTGGGGGGGACAGGGAGGTGACCTGTGGGGACACACATGGGGCTGGGGGCACGGGAAGGGGGTGGGTGGCCCAGAGGAGCCAGGAGAGGTGACAAGAGGGGGGACACGAGTGGCTTTGGGGGTGTGGCACATAAAGGATGACCCGGAGGGCCCGGGGGAGATGCCCCGTGGGGTGACACCCGTGGGTTTGGGGGGCACAGAGGTGGCCCGGGGGGTGACAGGTGGGCAGGGTGACACAGAAGGGACATGTGGGGTGACACCCGTGGGTTTGGGGGGCACAGAGGTGGCCCGGGGGTGACACGTGGGCAGGGTGACCCCAAGGGGCTCAGAGAGGCACCAGGGTGGGGACACGAGTGGGTTGGGGGCCGGGGAAGGTGCCCCGGGGGATGGCACCAGGGGGTCTGGGGGACACCAGGGTGACCCGTGGGGTGGCCCGTGGGCAGCGTGACCCAGACGGGAGCTGGGGGTTGCCCAGTGGGGACACGCGTGGGGCTGGGGTCATGTGACATGCGGCAGGAGGGGACACCGTGTGACACGCGTGGGTCTGGGGTCTGTGCGTGTGACACTCCCAGGGGAGGAGGTGACACGCGTGAGTCTGGGGTCTCTGTGACACGCCCGGGAACACGGGGACACGTGTGGGTCTGGGGTCTGTGTGTGTGACACTTCCGAGAGGGGGGAGGTGACACGCGTGAGTCTGGGGTCCGTGTGACACTGACGGGGAGCGGGAGGTGACACGGCGCGACACGCGCGGCTCCGTCCCGCGGTGGGTGTTGGGGGGGGGTCCGCGGGGTCCCTCCCGGGGCCTCCCCCGGCCGCGCCCCCCCGAGCCCCCCTGCGCCCCCCCCGCGCTGCGCCACTGACAGGCGGAGGTGACACCGTGTGACACGCGTGGGTCTGGGGTCCATGTGACATGCCCGGGGACACGGGGACACGCGTGGGTCTGGGGTCCGTGTGACACTGACAGGCGGAGGTGACACCGTGCGACACGCGTGGGTCTGGGGTCCATGTGACATGCCCGGGGACACGGGGACACGCGTGGGTCTGGGGTCCGTGTGACACTGACGGGGGGAGGTGACACCGTGTGACACGCGTGGGTCTGGGGTCCGTGTGACACTGATGGGGGGAGGTGACACCGTGTGACACGCGTGGGTCTGGGGTCCATGTGACACTGACGGGGGGAGGTGACACCGTGCGACACGCGTGGGTCTGGGGTCCATGTGACATGCCCGGGGACACGGGGACACGCGTGGGTCTGGGGTCCGTGTGACACTGACAGGCGGAGGTGACACCGTGCGACACGCGTGGGTCTGGGGTCCATGTGACATGCCCGGGGACACGGGGACACGCGTGGGTCTGGGGTCCGTGTGACACTGACGGGGAGCGGGAGGTGACACGGCGCGACACGCGCGGCTCCGTCCCGCGGTGGGTGTTGGGGGGGGGTCCGCGGGGTCCCTCCCGGGGCCTCCCCCGGCCGCGCCCCCCCGAGCCCCCCTGC